CCCCCACCCTCACCCTCGTCCTAACCATCACCATCACCATCACCATCACCATCACCATCACCATCACCATCATCATCACCATCACCATCACCATCACCATCACCAACACCAACACCATCATAATCGTCACCATCAGTTTCACCATCATCATCAGCAGCATCATCATCGTCATCTGATTCAACAACAGCTAAAACAACAACAGCAACAGCAACAACAAAAACACCAACAACAACAACAGCAACGACAACGTCACGCCATCACCGCCACCATCAGCATCAGCATCGTCATCTTCATCATCACCATCGCCAGCACCCTCACCCCCACCCTCACCCCTGTCCTAACCATCACCATCACCATCATCACCAGCATCACCATCTTCAGCAGCATCATCATCATAATCAGCATGAACATCAGCATCATCATCAGCATCAGCATCACCATCATTTTCATCATCTTCATCATCATGAGCACCATCATCAGCACCATCATCACCCGCATCGCCATCAACATCAGCATTGTCGTCGTCGCGAGCACTGCCATCATCATCATCACCAGCATCATCTCACTCCTCCTCCTGCCACTGATGTTCATTAGTCTCCCCATCCCCCATGTTCATCCTCCCCATGCCCCTTCTCCTCCTCATCTTGGTCACCCCCCACCTCCTCCCGCTGCTCCTCATCCTGCTCCTGCTCCCGATGCTGCCGCTCCTCTGCACCACCGCCACCGCCGCCTCTACCGCCACGCCCAGGTCCACCTCATCCTCCACCTGCACTTCCCCCGCAACTCCACCTTCACTGGAGCTCTCGCGACGTCCTGGAGAGTTGACCCATCTGTCGATGACGGCAAAGGCGATGCTGGTGGTGATGATGGCGATAGCGCCTGGCATGATTGACGAATGATGATTGGTGAGTGGGGGTAGAGGAGGACAAGCAAGATGATGGTGACAGCGTGCGGGCCCCAAGCGGCTCATTCGTGCAACAGTGCCGACAACCGAGCATTGTGCATATATATACACACACACACACCCGCACCCCCCAACGACGGATTGTCTTCCTCCTCCTGCTCCTCTTCATCCTCCTGGTCCCTCCTCCCCCTCGTGGGAGCACCTTCCTCATCGTCATTATCTTCCTCCTCCTGCTCCTCTTCATCCCCCTGGCCCCTCCAAGGAGGGGAGGGCAGGGCGCGGAGGGAGGGGGGAGGGGGATTGCATTGCAGTGGATTGCGACCGATTGCGTTGCAATCGTTTGGTTGCAATCGGTTGGATTACAATCGGTTCGATTGAAAAGGATTGGACTGCAAGGGAGGGAGAGGAGGGAGGGGGGAGAGGGGGCGGGGAGGAGAGGGAGCGGAGGGAGGGGGGGAAGGGGATTGCATTGCAATGGTTTGCAATCGATTGCGTTGCAATCGTTTGGATTGCAACCGGTCGCGTTGCAATCGATTGGATTGCAATGCAATGAGGGGCACGGGGCAGCCTCGAGCGACATGCGCAATTCGTAGGATGTCAGGGCAGTCGTGAATGGGGCTGCCTCGAGCGACATGCGCAGTGCGTAGGATGATGATGAGAAGAACGCGTAGGAGGAGGATGAACAGGAGGTGGAGGAAGGGGAGAGGAGGAGCAGGAAGAACAGGAGGAGTGAGACTCCCAATGCGTAGCTTCTTGGGGCACTCTTGGGGCGATACAGGGTTGTCGCCCACGTGCTTCTTGCGGAGGCCTCTTGGGCATTTCCGAATCCTCATGACGAGGCTCAGTGGCCACTTGGAGCCGTCTTGGGGCGGTCCTGGCGCCTCTTCGAGGCCCGTTCGAAGCTATCTTAAACCGCCTTGGGCTATCTTGATCGATCTTAGAGACCATCTTGGACCCTTTGCGGCCCTCTCGGAGCCATCTGGAGCCATCTTGCGCGCTCCAACCCGTCGCGGGGCCTCTTCTCCAGACGCAGGGGGAAGGGGTTAGGGGGAAGAAGGGGGGTGGGCTGACCAGGCTCGCTGAGCCACCTCCGCCCAGGGGGCGGGTGGGATCGCAATCGGCAATCCGTTGCACTCTGCACTGCTAGCGCTCGCTCTCGCATCCTATCGTTTCCGTAGCCCTTTTTGGTTCAAGTTGTTCATTTTTGCTACCATGCCAGCCTTCGTTTGTCATCTTTGTACTTCAAGTCTCTATGTCACCTTGGCTCCGTCACAGTATCTGGTCGTCACCTCGGTTCCCATACACTGCCTGGCATGTGTCTGCATTGTGTGCTGCGTTGCTTTGTACTGCATGTTTGCATCGTGCTCCTGGATCGAGCGGCGACGCGAGTGCGCCGAGTGGCGCGGCTGCGCCCGCGGACGCCGCCGTGCAGCCCCCGATCGTCGGCTGCCACGGTGCGCTCTCGGAAGAGGACCATCGGGAGCAGGTGGCGATCTTCCGCAGCCTCGCCAAGACCCACCACGGCGCGCACGAGGACCTGGTCACTCCGCCGCGGAAGACCAGGAGGACGGGTCTGGCCTGCGGCGGGCCGCTCTCCCCCGTGGACATCCAGGAGCAGCAGGCGATTTTCGCATCCATTGTGGCGCAAGCGCACGGCGAGACCATCGAGGTGGCCGACGATAGCGTCGACTTGGAAGCAGAATTGGAGACGCTCCTCGATGGCGTCGAGGCGGAGCGCGTTGGCGACGCGAGCGAGCTTCCAGGTGACCTTACGGACTGATCCAGCGGCAGCTGGCCTGGCGAGTGACGCGAGAACGCGCAGGCGAAATGTGCGCAGCGACGCATATTGCATATGACGGCCGAAGCGAGCTGATGTGAATGCATTCAGGTCTATGCTTGTTCGCTTTCCAGATGTAGATGCCTTCCGCGTTGCGATATGTTGGGCGGGTGTCATAGAAGTGCCCATGCGAAATGTGCGCGGACACGCATATTGATTACGACGGTTGTGAACTGTGCGAAACAGCACCATCTTCAGTTGTTCCTGTTACTCATCATTCCTCCTCTCGCCGTGCTTCCCAATCTTGCAGATGCCCCTTTTCTTGGACCCCTTTGTCAACAACCCCCCCACCCCCCCCGCTGCATTGCAAGTGCATTACATTGCAATCCCATTGCAGCGCATTGCATTGCATTGCGATCGCAGTGCATTGCATTGCACTGCATTTCGATCGCATTGCGTTGCATTGCACTGCAATCGCATTGCGTCGCATTGATTTGGAGAAAGAGGGATGGGTTGAAGAATTATTGCTGCATTCTGATTGTAATCATACTGTGATCCTGGCGGGTTCGGTGGGAGGAGGAGGAGGAGGAGAAGGAGGAGGAAGAGGAGCAGGAGGAAGAGGCGGAGGAGCAGCAGGCGGGTGAGGATGAGGAGGACGGGGATGAGGAGGGCGAAGAAGAGGATGAGGATGAGGAGGATGAGGGGGATGAGGATGAGGAGGAAGAAGAAGAGGATGAGGATGATGAGGATGAGGGGGATGAGGGTGAGGAGGATGAGGATGAGGAAGGGGAGCAACAACAGCAACAGCATCAGCATGGCAACGAGACCGTGCTATTCACATTTTTTTTGTTTTCAGAGATCCACAAGCATGGCCAGGGGGTGTTGTGGAACGCCAGAAACCAAACAACAACTTGTGAATTGCAGTGTTTGGGGGGAGCATGGCCACCAAACACTGCTATTCACAGGTTTTTTTTTTGTTTTTGTTTTGTTTTCTGGCGGACCGAAAAAAAAAAATGTGAATAGCATGTTTTCGTGGCCGTGCTCTCGCCAAATACTGGTATTCACATGTGTTTTTGGTTTTCTGGCGGACCGAACAAAAACCAAAAAAACATGTGAAGAGCATGGTTTCGTGGCCGTGCTCTAAACAAACACTGCTATTCACATGTTTTTTTTTGTTTTCTGGCGGACCGAAAAAAACCAAAAAAACATGTGAATAGCATGGTTTCGTGGCCATGCTCTCCCCAAACACTGCAATTCACAAGTTTTTGTTTGGTTTCTGGCGTTCCACAACGCCCCCTGGCCATGCTTGTGGATCTCTGAAAACCAAAAAAAAACAAAAACAAAAAAAAACATGTGAATAGGAGTGGTTGGTTGCCTCCCTGACCGAAAAACCAAAAAAAAACATGTGAATAGCATGGTTTCGTGGCCACCCTCCTCCCGCAAGTCTTTTTGGCGAAGGAAGAGGAGGAGGAAGAGGAGGAGGAGGAGTTCAGGAAGAGGAGGAAAGAAGGAGGAAGAGGAGGGCGAGGGAGGAGGAGGAGGAGCAAACAATCAATGATCGCTTTGTGGTTTTGGTGGTTTGGGGGGTGCTGGGGGGGGGGGGCGACCATATATATATATATATATATATATATATATAACCCTAGGCACGTGGATCCAGCTGCGGGATGTGTGGAGCCCAATTGTGTTTGAAACCCTGTGTTTACGTCATCCTCCGGTTCGCGCCATAACTATTTGTGAGCGAGGCTGGACGAGTGTAACCCAACGTGTGAAACCCTAACCCAAATCCAAGCAACCGTACGAACTAACACCTCAACCCACGGACAAGTCAACGGCCCAACTACAGTTCAGCCACGCCCAAGCCCACGTTCAAAGCCACCCCAAAACTCTAGCCCGCACGCACGCCACAACCCGTCTTCCAAATACGCGTCCCACCAACGTGCAGTTGCTAGTCCACGCCCACATCCCAGTCCACTGTCAAGGCCAAGTCCAATTTCCAGTCCAAAAGCCACGTCCAAGCTCACGTCCCAACCCACCCTCCAGAGTCTGGCCCAAACCCACGCCACAGCCCACGTCCCAAACCACCTCCAAACCAATGTGTAATTCCCTGTCCAAACATCCAAGACCCTATTAAGCGGCAATGGCCGACACTAGCACCTAGGACCAGTTCTTTGAAGCAGCAGTTGCTCCTCGAAGCGCATGCGGACGAGGATAAAGAGGAAACTCACGATTAGTATGAATGGTGAGAACGTGTGGGAGGGGGAAGACGAGGACGAAAGGAACAACACACACACACACCAACCCCTCCCCCCCAAGAGCCGGGTGCAACACCAGAATGGTCTTTCTGCAATTGTTCCAGTCGACTTTGTTGATCTGCGAGAGCCTGATCGGGCATCTCGCACGTTCTTGGGCTCCAGCTCCTCCTTGTCCTCCTCCTCCTCCTCAACCTCCTGCTCCTTCTCCTCCTCGTCTTCAACCCCCTCCTAACCCTCATTCTCATCATCACCATCACCATCCACCACATCATCATCGACCTCTCCCTCGCGACTTGAGACCTCCGTCCCCTCTGCTCCGCGCCGCCCTCCGTCGCCCACACTTTCTTCGCTGCCCACTCCTCTTCCACCGTGCTTCTTCGCCCTCGCCACCTCCCTCCCCCGTCGTCACGCCTAGATCTGCCTCCCGCTCGCATCCCTCCTCCTCCCTCCTCCCTGCTTCACCCATCACCCTCCCTCCCGTGTTGCTCCACCCGCCCTCCCTGTGCCCGCCGCCCCTCCTTCACACAGAATGTGCCTCACTCCTTCCCGCGCCCGCCGCCCTCCTTCATCCCTAAACTCCCGCCTCCCCCTGCCCCCCATCATGAGTCCTTGTGCCTGGTGTGATTAACCAGCGAAGAACCCCGAACCCTTTGGGAAGGGACCTAAGTTAGAAGGGCCAAACACCTGAGGGACAGGAAGCCCTTCTGCAGACGTATCAGGCCAGACCGCCCAGGTCTGTGATCCCTAATGCGAAGACGGGGACCTACGCGAGGCCGCGTCTTCATCGCGTTACTAGTGTTAAGTCGGGCCTGTCCCCCTACAGGGGGATTTTGGGCGAAAAATGAAAACATAGCCAAAAAATGCCCCACAATGCTTAACAAATGCTCAAAAATGGTCCGCTGACTATTTTTTGACTATTTTTGAATATCCCTCCTGTAGGGGGACAGGCCCGACTTGATACTAGTGTTCAGGGGCTCGATTGTTCTCGATGATCCCCCGCCCCCCCCCTTCAATCGGCCCTCGTGCCTGCTGGCCGCCTGGCGCCCCGCGCCTTCCTTCGCCCTCCCTCGGTGCTCTTTCCTCGCTCCGCCTGCCTGCCCGCCTCCCACCCTGGGCGCCGCGACCTGACCGAACACACTGCGATGCGATCCTGCTCTGCGGGTCGCCAGCTCGGGCACGGCCCCTTCTCGCACGGCCCCTTTGTTTTGCTGCAGGCTCTGTGGGGCCCATGGGGAGTCGCATCCCTTGAGGGGGCCCCTGGCCGTTTGCAAAGGGGCCCTCGAAGGCTGCCTCCCCTAGGGGCAACCAAAAGATGCATGCTCGACGGCTTGAACTACCGTTCAGTCGGGCCCGTCCCTCTACGGGAGGGAGATTCAAATTGCTGCCTGCGCGCGAGCAGTCAGGGCAACCCACTTAGGACACCAGCGGGGGGACAGATGTCGAACCCAAATTTGCAAGGCATTTTCTTGCCTAAACCTACCCTTGGCCTCCGCGTCTCGCGGCCGGGGGGGCCACACGGGACACCCAACAACAACCAAGCACGCTACGGCTGGCAAGACGCTATAGCGTCGGTCCCAAAGGAGGGGGAGGAGGAGGAGAGGCAGGAAACATCACGGGAGACAGTAGAGCAGTATTCAGATGAATCGTGTGGAGGACGACAGCCACATTTGGTAGCAACAGGCCTCAGCCACCTCGTCCCTGCCCAAGCCCACAGCCTCGTACCAAAATAGTCAGCAGGATAGACGGGGGACGATTTCTTGATCCTTTGTTGAATAGGTTGGAGCATTTTGACATGTTTTCTATTTTTCGCCCAAGATCCGCCTGTGGGAGGACACGCCCGACCTAAACCTACCGGCTCCGCCGCGCCGGTGTTCGGTGCGGGGGCCCTGGGGCATGTGAGCACCTCCAGCACCGCCAGCGCCATTCCGGCCCAAAGCGGTTACAGAGACTCTGCCGCGCATGCGGCTCTGTTGCTCTCATGCTCGGCTCTCCTGCCCAGCAACATCTTAGAACGAAAGGTGAAGCAGCACGTATCGTCCGAGTGTCGGAGCTACAGCGACGTCTGCGATACGAACGTCAGCAAGTTGTTTCTCATCGAGATGTTGGAACCACTGCTATGGCATGTACTCTTCTCACCGACCAACCCAAAACTTCCATCCACTACGTGGCACACCTGGCCACTCTGATGTCGACGGGCCCTCCGAAAAACTTCGCGAGAGGGGCCACCTGTCCACGACTCCCCTTCAGGACACCCTGCAGACTGCTCATCCACAACTGAAGGGGCCCCACGACACACAAATAAATACACACAAATAAAAGTATTCTCCATATTTTCCCATATTTGGGGGGTTTTCGTCTCCCCCCCCACTTCCCATATTTTCCCATATTTTCGGGGGGAATCGACGACTAACTGTGTCCGTGTGTGTTTTTCCCTCCTGAACAATATGTGACTATATGTGGGAGCTCCAGCCAGACAGCCACGTCCGCCCACGATGGAGAAAGCTCGGGCGCGGGCCCCGCCCGAAAACCAGGGGGGCAATGCCAGAGGGGCACCGATTCGGCGGTGGACAAACCTTCCTTTGGCAAACCTCCCCTTAGCGAAAACGGCCTACGACCCAAACCGACGGGCCTGGACCCCCAAAAAAGTGGCGGCCGCGACGCCCTCTCGCGGACCGAGCACGGCCGATTCCCGAATCGACGCGTCAGGGAGGGAGGTCTGTCCATGACGAACGGACAACACGCACCCATACCCATAGGGGGGTCGTGGGGAGGAGGACTGGCTAGGGGTATGGGTGCGGCTTGTCGGACCCTGGGGAACGCTCCCGTTCGAGCCCCCGATGCCATCGGGGGCCTACGGTCGGGAGCTCTTGCTTTCAGCGTGCCGCGGCGGCGGCACCGGCGACACGCCGTGCCCGGCGAGCGGGTGCCGCGCCGCTCCGCTCCGCGGGGCGGGAGGCCGTCGGCGCCTGGAGACCGCAGCGTGCACAGCGTGTCGCGCCGAGGCGCGGTGGGCCAGAACGGGCGCAGCGGCACGTTGTCCCAAACAAAATCCCGATCGCGAGGCCCCAACTTCGCTCGTGTCCAGCGCCGGCTCCTCGAAGCGGAGCGGCGCGCTCAGGCAGCACCCCCCCTGCCCCTCGCTGCTCCTGCGCGCGCGTGCTGGCAGGAGGGAGTGCGGTAGCCGTTTCAACCCGGGCCAATCTCAAGGTGCGACATGGTCGCCGAAATTTCTTCACCCAGAGCGCCGGAAAAAAACGAAGTATCCCCATCACAGGCCTGAGATCGTCATTTGCTGTATTGTGTGGTCTGGGAGCGCCACGTGATCCGTGACGCCGGCGGCAATACATCTAAAGCTCCACGACGCGACCTGCAAGCTCACAGCGAACGACCACCACCGGGCCGACACCGACGACGAGGTGGAGAATACGCCGCCTTGGCAAGATGTCAGCGGACGTCGCCGACGAGGCGCCTCTCGCCCACGACTGCAGCGAGGGGGCAAGGGCAGAGCAAGCGGGGGGAGAATCGTGATGGATCGTGGGCGCGGGAATCTACAGCGGACCGGCCCAGGTCGGGGAATGCAGCCCCCCGTGCACGCACGCCAGCACAGGAAGCAACAGCTCCTCCTCCTCCTCCTCCTCCTCCTCCTACTTCTTCTCCTTGCCGACCAGCAGGTCTGGAGGTGGCTGGGGCGCGCAAGATGTGGCCACCAATGCCTTCCACGCGAAAGACCTGAAGGCTGACAGGGTTCGCCTCGAGGGCATCATGGACGCGCTTTGGTAACATACCACGCGATTCTGGGTGGCTCCACATTCTGCGACGACTTCGTGGGGGAAGAAGAGATCGGATTCAGAGGCTCGTCAATTCAGGCCATCCTGTGGCCTGAGGGGCGTGTCACCGATTTCTCGAGCAGCTCTTCAGAGCAAGCGCGTGCATCATGGACTATCGCGCGCGTATCAGCACCCGATGCGACGATAGAGCACGACAGGGGGTCGTCAGCCTGCGTCCGACAGACTTCCTCCCGCTACTGTTGCCTACTCAACCCTCCCTCTCTTCCTCCTCCTCCTGCTTCTTCTCCTCATCCTCCTCCTCCTCCTCTTCCCCTCTCTTCCTCCTCCTCCCCGTCTCCCTCCTCTTCCTCCTCCTCCTCCTCCTGCTTCTCCTCCTCCTCCTCCTTTTCCTATTCCCTCTCCTTCTCTTCGTCTTCTTGGAACGCGCCCAAGGGAACCACTTCCAGCTCTTCAAGGGCAGGATGCTCCGGGCGCCGTTCGGCAGGCCAGTGGTCAGCTCAAAGCTGACGCAGAAGCTCGTTTTGGAACCTCCGGCGGGCGGGAGAAGGAGGATAGGGGGGAGGGGGGGAAGAGGGAGGAAGGGAGGGGGGAGGGGGGGGGATGGAAGGATAAGACGGAGCCAAGGCAAAGACAACATCGGACCAGGACATCTCGGGGATCTCCGAGATATCCTGCGGTCATGGGAGGACGTACCGGGCGCCGCGACCTGCTCAGAGAGAGTTCCAGCTTCCGCACCACGAGAGCCTTCCAGAACGCTCAGTAAAGATTGGTCCCTGCTCTAAGTAGCCTAGCGCGAGAGGAAGAGGAGGAAGAAGAGAAGGAGGAGGAGGTGGAGGAGGAGGAGGAGGAGGAGGAGGAGAGGAAGGGGAGAGAAGGTGGAAGACGGACGCAGGACAAGCTGGGTGCGCTCGCGTCATATCTGAAGTCCTACTCCTCCCTCCCATCCCTTACCATGGCGTAGACCTCCTCTCTATTCGCACAAACGGATGTTGTAGAATGGCGTAGCATTACATGGCATAGCATGGTGTTGAATATCAACGCGTAACATGACATAGCATGGCGTGACGACGCTCCAATGTGGGGGGGGAGCTTCTGCGGCCCACAAAATCAAATAATCGACACCGAATGTGTAGTCACTTCCGATGGTTCGTTCGGGAAGCAGGTTTCTTGATTCTGGGGCCGATTTGGAAGGACCGAAAACCATGCCGTGGCATGGCAGCATGGCACTGGAAATAATGACGCCAACGCTGCAGCGGGAACACGATTCGGAACGAGCGGGAGCGCGGATATGAGGGCAGCGCTGCAGCGGGAGCGCGATTCGGAACGAGCGGTAGCCCGAAAATGAGGCTGGCGCTTCAGCGAGAGCAGAATTTTGAAAACCAAAGAATCCCCAGTCGAATGACCCAACCATATGCAGCTGTGAAAAACGCGTTGCGGGTGCCGCTTTCGGTGGAGCTCCCTATGGGGCCACGAAGCGCGTGAAGGACGTGCCGTGATGGGTGAGGGAGACGCATGCGGGCGGTGCCACTGGAGCCTTCGGTGGGGCTCCCTATGGGGCACGAAACGCGGTACTCGGTGTGGCTGACGCATGCGGGCGAAACCCCTCGCTGGAGCTCCCAATGAGATGAGGCCACGAAACGCTGTACTGGGTGGTGGCTGACGCATGCGAGCGGTCCCACTGGGACCATCGGTGGAGTTCCCCATGGGGCCACGAAGTGCTGTGCTTGGTGGTGGCTGACGCATGCGGGCGGTGCCAATGGGGCCGTCGGTGGAGCTCCGTATGGGACCACGAAACTGTACTGGATGGTGGCTGACGCATGCGGGCGGTGCCAGTGGGGCCGTCGATGGAGCTCCACATGGGCCCACGAAACGCTGTGCTGGGTGGTTGCTGACGCAGGCGGACGGTGCCACTGGGACCTTCGGTGGAGCTCCCTGTGGGGCCACGAAGAGCTGTGCTGGGTGGTGTCTGACGCATGCGGAAGGTGCCACTGGGGCCTTCGGTGGAGCTCCCTGTGGGGCCACGAAAGGCTGTGCTGGGTGGTGGCTGACGCATGCGGGCGGTACCACGTGGGCCTTCGGTGGAGCCCTCTATGGGGCCACGAAGCGCTGTACTGGGTGGTGGCCGACGCATGCGGGCGGCTACAGGGCCACAGGGCTACAAGGTTATTGGGCTATAGGGTTATGGGGCTGTAGGCCCACAGGGCTATAGGGCTATAGGGCTATAAGGCTATAAGGCTATAGGGCTATTAGGGCTAGAAGGCTACAGGGCTATAGGGCTATAGGGCTTTTTAGAACTACCGGGCACCTGGGCACCCGGGCACCTGGGCACCCAAGCACCCGGGCACACGGGCACCCGGGCACCCGGGCACCTGGGCACCCGGGCACCTGGGCACCTAGGCACCCAGGCACCCCTGGGCACCTGGGCATCCGGGCGTGCGGCGAAAATCGGCGGCAAACCTAATCTAACCAGATGAATCCGCGAGGACCCCTACACAGGCAAGCTCTGATTGGGGAATAATAGAAGTACAGATATCGAATCACACGAATACATAAGTAATGCTAAAATGAGTCATATAATAACATTACTACCCATATACTCAATAATACTCGTAAGACTGCTACTAACAATCATCAGCATAATAAGAACAAGTACTATACACATATCGTGATACGAACAAGCATACGATGCATTAGAACCCATGGTAATAAGACGAACATCACTATTGGTAACAACATATATAGCGACACAAACATACAAATGCTCATAAACAACAAGGAAAATAAGACAAGACGAACAAACAAACCGGCATGATGAGACCGGCGACGAAGACGTCAGGCTTCTGGCGCAACTCTCAGCGGGGCGCGCTGCTGCGCTCTCGCATGAGCGAAGGCCGGCAGCCGCGGCCACGCCTCCCATGGCCGAGGTATGGTGTGCTCGCCTCCCGGCCGAGGCCGGGAGGGCCTGTGCACCATCGCGGTGCCTGGGACGGCCCTCGCCAGGCACGGCGGTGGTGGCGTAGTACTGTGGAGGGGGGTGGGGGAGGCTGGGGGGGATCGAGGTGCCCCTCTCGAACCCCAAAGGCCCCCTCGCGGGGGCCCTGAATGGGCCCCTTCTGGGGGCCCCGAACAGCCGCCTTTAGAGGGGTCCTGGGGGCCCCTTGTCTGGAGCCCTCGCTGCCCCCTATAGGGGCCCGAAAGGGCCCCAGGGGACGACGATGGGGAGCCGCGCGGGGCCAACGATCTCGGGGGCCCCGGCCCCCGCACCAGGCGTGCTACAGCCGGACCCAGGCCAGCAGAACAGCCCTCGAGCACATGACGCCCTCCGTCGGCCACGCCCCACACAGAGCATCCAGGGGCGCCCCCCCCCAGGATGGACCAAGCACATCCAGCAGACTCGCGGAGAACACTGTGGGGGGCACCCTCCCCGAACCGACCTCGATCTTGTAAACCTCGGCCTGGCTGAATAGATGCCGTCTTGCCACCGGGTTCCTGTCCAAGGCGTTCCTTTGCAGGCACATCGTCTTCGGCACCGCCTGATCCCGAGGCTTTGCCTCCTCCTGACCTTGACGTGAGGCCTCTCCTTCTGCTCCCCCCCCTCTTTGTTAATTCAAGCTGTGCGCGGCCCGCTTAGCTTCGACTGGAAGAGGTGCGCTCTCGACCCGCGGATGAAAAAAACTGTATAGATGCCGTCTGCAGAGTCTCGCCCCGGCGCGCTCCTTTCCCGAGCCCACCCCGCTCTCCCCGCCGAGCCGGCGTGGGCCGGGCGCGCGCGACGGGTGCACGGCGCACGGACGAGCGGGCACTGTCCTGCTCGGGGGCCTGCCGACCTAGGTCAATCCAGACCCGGGTCAGTCCAGCCCTGCAGGCTCCTGCCAACATCCCGCAGGATCCGGCGCCCAAGCCAGGGAGCATGCGACCTCGACACCCTGCAGGATCATGCAAGGTCTGACGCTCTGGCTGATCCCCATTTGCATCGACCCCCGTCTCTTTTCGCCCGCCTCCCCCCAACCCCTCTCCTTGTGTCCCCCTCCTGCTTCTCCTCCTCCTCCTCCTCGACCCCTCTCTGTCCTTCCCCTTCCCATCCATCCGGACCCTTCTCTGGCTTGTATCTGGACCACCACAAAGACCTGAACCATGCACCTCGTATCTCTCGGCGGCCATCTGCAACATCACTCCCTTCATCCTGGGCCTGGACCATCTTGTATCCCTCCCATCCTTATGCACCTGAAGCACCATCTGGACCAGACCATCCTCCCCTCCTTGTGCACCTGGATCTGCAAAGTCACCCCACACCAGCACCATCGGAGGTTGCCGGGTACGGCTTGCTCGACGCGGGTACATGGAAGGGTACGTGGAAGGGTTACGGCTGGTGAACACGAGACGGAGCAGGATAACTGAAGAAGATGAGGATGCTGGAGAAGGAGGTTGCGCATGACCTCGAGGAGGAAAAGGAGGACGAGCAGGAATCGGCTGTAGGTTAGCACGGTGGTCAATGAGGAACACCATGAGGGAGGGCGGCAGTGCAGATGACGAAGTGGAGGATTTTTTCGGCTGCTGGAGGCGATGGGCCTCTCGGTCTCTCTGTAAGAATGCGGGAGTCAGGAAAAATGCGTGGCCAGCTTCGCCATCACAACCGAAGGCGATCTTAAACTGCTGAATTTCCACACTGCCAGGCTACAAAAAGGCGGAGCTTTGACAAAATGAGGTCTCACACATTCGCGAGGCGAGGAGCTGGGTGCGCCCCAGGACGGACGCGGTGGGCAGCGAAAACACACTCGCCAACCATGCTGGTCAAAGGCGTGCTAGAATCTCCTGTACGATATTCGGAATCATGAGTTGTTCGCGCGCGATGGCCGGCCCCTGGGGGGGCCCCAAGAGGAAGAGATCCCAACCACTGTTTTCGCGTATGGTTCTGCTCGCGGGAAGGGCCCCGAGGACCCCCACTTCAGCTCCAGGATCGCGCCAAGGGTCCACGGGCCCCGGGACGGCCCAGTCACGCTCCAAGACGGCTCTAGAGGCTCGTGGGCCAACGGTCTCGCACACACCAGCGGCGGGCTTCTCGCGCCGCGCCGAACCCAGACCAGCCTCTCACCCCCATCCGCATATGCATGCATATGCGGCCAGTGTGGCACGTCTGTGTGTCCACATAGATACACATTATATATATACATATGTGTGCTTGTGTGTGCTTGTGCGTGTTTGTGTGTGTGTGTGTTTGTGTGCTGCCTCCCCCCAGCTTCAGCTCAGTGCAGTCCAGTGCAGCTCTGTTCCGGCGTTAGTGCCACCCCCCCGGCGCTCCCCCCGCCGCAGCCGTCAACTCTCAGTGGCCCGGTTTCCTCTCTTCCTGTCGCGCCGGGGCTCCTCCTCCTCCTTTCGTGCATCGCGGCCTTAAGTCGCACAAACAGCCGCCGCCCATGAGCACCACCCTTACGCTTCGCATAATGCACACCTAGTCGTTGACGCATTGGGGAACAAGCCCCGCGCTCCTCCGCCTCGGGCCCCAACGCAGTACACAGATATGGCCCCTC